TTTATCTTGAGATTTTATATCAAATTTAGAATTTGTATTGCCATTAAACATTGTATCGTCGTTAGATGTCTTATCATTTTCGAGTGTTTTACCTTCTTTTATGGATGTATCAGGTTCACTTTTTCTAGATAATACTAATTCAACAAGATCTGCTTCATCTGTAGACAAATTCAGTTTGTTATTAGCGGACTCTTCTTCTGTATGTGTATCATTGTCTTGAGATTTTTGACCTGTTTTGGAAAAATTATCATCTTTAGTWGTTATTTTATCTTGAGATTTTACATCTAATTTAGAATTTGTATTGCCCTTAAACTTTGTATCTTCTTTAGATATTTTATCAGCTGTAGAAGTTATATTTTCTTTAGATTTTGTATTAGCTTTAGAATTTTTATGGCCCATTAACTTTGCATCGTCTTTAGATGTTGAAGCATTTTGGAGTGTTTTAACTTTTTCGGGGGGTTTATTAACTTCACCCTCCTTAGATAATATCAATTTAATATCATCTATTTTATCTTCACATAACTTTAGTCTTTTGTTAGAAGACACTACTTCTGCAGATGTATTATTGTCTTGATATTTTATATCAGCTTTTGACCTTTTATTGCCCTTAAACTCATTTTTCAATACGTCCCTAAAATCATTTTAAATAATTAAAATTATTAACTTAAGTACACTTCAGTTTTTGAAGTAATTTAAATATTATTTTTTATAAAAACAATGTATTAAAAAATGGATAATTTATATTCAACATTAGATCCTAAAAATTGTCTACACAATTATTCATTTGAATGTATATTATATAATATATAAATCTGGATAATTGGTAATGTATAAAATTGTACGCCAATTTAAATAAAACAAATAAGTCGAAAGTCTATTATACAGAGTATACAGAGTGCGGCAGAGCCGACTGACGAGTTTTGAAGGGTTATAAAAAACGAACAGTAAAACTTAGAGAAAAAAATTTYTTTTATTAAAATAAGTATTGAATCCCATTTTTAAAAATAATTGTTTGAAAATTATATCTTGAAGATGGCGGCCATCAGCATCACTATCATATCATATCACATCATACACTGTTTTAGACGATCTCTGAAGCTCACATATGATTTTATGTTATGATTTTATGGTTTCAACAAGACGGGGCTACAGCACACACAGCTCGAATTTCACTTGGTGTCTTGCAACAAATGTTCCTTGGGTGGTTAGTCTCTCTAAGAGGAGACATAGGCTGGCCAGCACCGGTCTCCAGATTTAAGCATGTGGGATTTTTTCCTCTGGGGCTACCTTAAGGATAAGGTTTTCAGACATCGCCCACATACCATAGAAGACCTTAAACAGAAAATCACCGGGGAAATCGAAGCCATACCAGTCAAAACGTGCCGAAAATCATATGAGAGCTTCAGAGATCGTCTACAACAGTGTAATCAATACATTTGTTGCAAGACACCAAGTGAAATTCAAGCTGTGTGTGCTGTAGCCCCGTCTTGTTGAAACCATACATTCTCTAAATCATGGTCTTCAGCCATTTCCTCCAACCTATGCAGCAGATAAGTTTCCAACATCACATCATAAAATCATATGTGAGCTTCAGAGATCGTCTAAAACAGTGTATGATGTGATATGATATGATAGTGATGCTGACGGCCGCCATCTTCGAGATATAATTTTCAAACAATAATTTTTAAAAATGGGATTCAATACTTATTTTAATAAAAAAAAGTTTTTTTTCTCTAAGTTYTACTGTTCGTTTTTTATAACCCTTCAAAACTCGTCAGTCGGCTCTGCCGCAACCTGTATATTGCTCAGTTTACCAGTTGTACTTACTTTTAATAAATCAATACATTCATAATAATACCATGTTTACTATATTATTTCTTCTTAAATTATGAAAACATTCAAAAGTAGCTAGAAGTTCTATAAAAATTATGGAAATTACCAGAAAACACGAGAAAACTTAGCATTCAATAATTGAACTTTAGGTACAATTTGGATCAATTCATAGATGGTCTACAATGGTAAATCACAGTAAATAAAAATACTCAAATTATTCCGATTTTTACAAAATTATTGTTGGAATGAATTGATTATTTGTAGTATTCGTTATTGTTTTATCGAAATAATGAATATTAAAGTTTGGTTTGAAATAAAAAATATATAGTGCACTATGAATACGTTAAATTTAAAAAGTTTGTCTTCAGTTCTCAAAATCCGGTATTCGCGAATTTACTGATACATGTAGTCTGATGTGTAATTAGTACTTATATTTAAACATGAAAATAAACTTACAATTTAGTATTTTGTATGTCTTCCGCAGTTAATTTTACCAAAGGAACTTTACATGGCTTGTTATAAAAAACATCGGTATACATGTTATCAATAAACTTTTTGGTATGCATATTAAGAATTTTCGTTCTGAAAAGAAAAAAAAACAATCATTTGCAACATATTATAAATACCATGGTCACATTCAAAATATTCATTTTAAAATAATAATTTTTATTATAGTCATTCTTCGACTACTTAATAATTAATATTGTTTCAAAACTATATAAAATAAAATACATTACAAAATTTAATAATACTTCAAGTTTTAATTTAAAATATACATCTTGAATAGTATAACCAACATTAATATAATATTAATAATATTGATATACAGTAGAAACCGCTTATTAGGAATTCTTTATTTGTTACTGAATACTACAAAGTGTATGCTGACTGTGCTTCGTTTGGGAGAATACCTCGATAATGGATGAAATATCCAAACTACCGAGTCTATTATTGAAAGCACGAAAAATGATCGCTGTCCGTTGTGTGTTAAGTGGCTTTTAAGTGATTATCAAATTAATTTGTGTCCGACAATACGACATAGACGATGGCAGTGTGACTATGTTGAAAACCAAAAATAGGTGTTGTTCACAAAATCCGGAACAAACCATAGGCGGATTACCGATCCGGATTGAAACACATAATATTACAATACGTTTAATCTGGATTTAATATACCAACCATAAATATAAAGCATTTTTAAAATAACATTAATTTTATTTATATATTATTCCTTATGTAAATATGCCTATATAACTATAATTTGCTAATTACTCACAAAAATTCGTGAATGGCATCTAGATAAGATAACGAGATAACGAGACAACAGTAAAATATAAAAATAACACCTACTGTCGCGACGTATTAACATGAATTAATCTTATGTATTATATAATCGCGTATTAAGACAAATTTGTTCAAACGAAAAATATACAAGTACTTAATTTTGTAATTATTACACGAAAACATTTTGTTTATAATAAGTTAATTACCTAGTAAGTGTAATAAGTTAATTTAATTTTTTTTTTTGTCCCGTTTTGATTAAAAAAATATATGGTCACTTTACTAAAAAGAGAACCAAATCATTTGAAGGATTTCCATTTATCATCAACTACAAGCACTGAACAAACTAATRARAATGAAAWACACTGGCGAATAATTTATTTCAAATTAATTGATAGTATTGTTACAAACATAAAAAAAAGATTTTCTACTGAATGTCTGAAGATGGCAACAGCAGTTGATAATTTTATGAAGTTAAATTTTGATGACAGCACTTTTTTCATTGAAAATTTTAAAGGATAAATTATTAAAATGAGATGTATTCAATTTAGTATTAAAATAATTTATTTTCTAATAGAAGTTGTTTAATATTTATTTAAATGCATTGAAAAGTAAAATGATGGTAGTAAAAATTGTATGTCCTTCGATCAAGCAAGGAATTAGAGATTGATTTTGATAAACTAAAAGCAGTGGTACAATCTGAAATTTATCCAAATTTATACACTTTGTTGAAAGTGGCTCTTACTATTCCTGTTAGTTCAGCCACATGCGAGCGTTCTTTCTCCACTATGAGAAGAATTAAAAATTGGCTGCRTACATCRATGGAYYAAGAGCGATTTTCYAGTTTGRCAATAATAAACATTGAAAGGGAAGTATCAAATAAGCTTAAATCTGAGGATATATTAATTGAGTATGCTAAGACTAACAAAAGGTTACAGTTATAATTTGTTTTAATATGACAAAAAATGTACAGCAGTGTGTTAAATTGACTGATATATACTATATATATATATATATATGTGTGTGTGTATATATACATTTATATAGTCTTTATAATCTATGTTGTATTGTAAGTAGTTAAGTATATAGGTAAATACATAGTAAATACAAATTCTTATATAAACATAAGTATTTAATAAAATGTACAAACTGAACATTTTGAGGAATATATAATTTTTATACTAGATTGAAAGTGTTGTTTATCCTAAACTAAGTGTATTAGGCATTAGTACTTAACTAATGCTTTTTATACAGTGTATAAATGATAGAACTGACCAAAAAAAAAAAATTATGTTATAAATTATGCTTTAAAATTTTTTTACAGCATTTTATAATAGGTGTTTAAAATATTGCGATAAGTAAATAGTTCCATACTTCACCATCTATATTTTTTTTAGTAAAATTTTTTATAAAATGTATTTACTTACCTAAAAATGTATACTGATGAATCTAAAATGGTACCTATTTTATTTGAACGCTATACAGAGGTAAGTAACTAAGATTTTTACAAATGTTTCTTTTTTAATCAGCATTAATTTCAGTTTATTAATTTTATTATATGAATTTCAGCCTTCAGGTAAGTATAATATTTGTTCTAAGATTAAAATAATTCTTAAAAAAATGAGAGGTGCTGTTTGAACAGAATTATGCCTGGTATTGCTGCACGTTTTACTATGCTTATCCTCCTGTTTATCTCACTTTATGATTGAAATAATTTGTATTTGTAATTTTATTAATTTTATTAATAGTGTTGCATGCGTTTTGAATTCTATTTTGAATAAATTGCAAATCCTCTGTGAATTCATACTGAAATGTACCTATTTTCTAAAATAAAATAAAAATATATATATATTTATTTGTGTTATTTATGATTAAAATATCATATTATCTCATAATGTACTCAATAATGTAACAAATTGACAAATTGTATTCTTTTTCAAGACATTTTCAATAATATCATGCTTGTGTTATTTGTTTATTAATATTTTCTTATAAATAAAACTCATAAATATCAATTATCTAATTCAAATGTATGAATAATATTTACTGTTGAGTTTTATCTATTTTTATTCCAGTTGTTAGGGTGTACAAAAATATAAATATCTAACTATTTATGTTTAATATCAAAATTAAAATACTGCTATACTATAATTTAAAGTAAATTTATTTCATAAAATTGAGTAACAAATGTTTGAATATTAATATTTTTTAGACAATTTATATCAAATAAATTAACGTTTAAGTCTAAACATTTTAAATTGATATCTATTTAAAATACAATTTTAAAAAAGGAAAAATATAAATTATTATTATTTGAGAACAAAATTATAACTGGCTTGTTTTTTAATTTTATTTAACTTTAAAAATCTATAAGAAAATTAATTATATCTTTGTATATTTCAGAAAAATAGCCAATAACACTGGAAAAAATAGTCTTAGACACAGAAAATGTTAGCTAAGAGGTAGATGACATAGAAGATGTTTTTATGGAAGCAGAAAACTTTTTAACGACTACTATTCCAAGTAATTTTAAAAAACTTTTAATAATAAATGGTTATGAATTATGATAAAATTCTTTGAGYTGTATTGATCATCAGACTTTGGACATTATTGAAGAATTTGCTAGAGCGTACCCAGTTTAGTCACTAGTGATGAATACATGGGATTTAAAAAATTATAATCTGAGATTTCAAATTCTTAGTGGATTTTGTAAGAGAGTTATGATGGTGGCTGATTTTTATAAAACAAAATTTTCTTAAACTAGTCCACAAATGGTAAAAAGAACTTAACCAAAATGACAAGAAATGATACGTTATAGCCGTCATGAAAGAGAAACTCATGGCATAGAGTGTTAGTGTCAAAAAAAATTAACCATGGTCTTGAACACAGAGTTGGACAAAATATAATCTAGATAACTATTCGAATAAAAAATTATTCGAATGATTTATTATAATTATCTGCATAAAAATGTATAAAAAATAAAAAATAATTTAGATAATTTCCAACTGTGTTATTTAAATAAAAATTATTTGGATAATTTTCAAAAGTTATTATTTGAATGAAAAATTATTCGACTAAATTCTTAACGTTATTATTCGAATTTTTTATTTGACTAATTTCTAAACGTTATTATTCAAATAAAAATTATACTAGTACAAAATATGAATCATATAATGAGTTTATAAGTCTTSTAGTTAATAATAATTATTAATATTACTATTATTAATTAGCATTAATTATTATACTGTTATATATTTAACTAAATTATTTTTTTTAATAATTTACTAATCAAACGTTTTCCTGATTTTTATTATATAATTTTAAAAACTGCACACTTAAGTTTTTATTTGAATAATAACGCTTGAAAATTATTCAAATAATCATCTAAATAAAATTTCATTTTTATAACGCCCTACTCTGCTTGAACAGCCTCTGATTACTTAATTTTAACCTGTGTTGGATTGAAGTGAACAAATTATTAAAAGACAATGAAATTTTAAGACAAATGTTATTGAACAATGTCAATAATAATTCATTTTATAGTACCTATATCACTGAAAATTATAGATGATTCAATTAATGGAAATTTGCCTATTTTAGTCAAACTTTTATTAAAATCAAGTTTGACTAATTCAAAACACAAACCAAATATTAATAAATTTAATGAAACTGTTAAGACATTTTTTTTTCAATTTATTAATTATTTTCAATTATTTGCTGATTGCTATATGAAACTTAATGTAAAAACAGCCTAATTCATTACCTTCAATTTCTTGTCTTTTTAGATTTTTTGGTAAGACCCAACAAATATGTCAAGATCGTTTCATGTTAATGGAGCTGCAAAATTTTTAGATAACTGTAATTTTTCTTTATACATTTGGTTAAATAAAGATGCGACCAGGATAATTGGACGAATTGAATATGATTCTGCATCTGATAAGCTTRTTAATTTTTTTTACTTCTTGAGAATGGTTGTCCACAATGTATTTATAGTTACATCAATAAAAAGTATATTAKATGCATTTAAAAGTGCTATAAAATCTAAATATGCATATTCTATAATGGTTCAATCCTCAGTACCTGAATTTCCTGCATTTTGCGAAACTGTTTTTGGTATAGATAATAGTTTTACTGAATAAGATGTTCTTCATTGTTGAAATCAAATGAATATGATTAATATGGCTAAAGAGCAACTAATATTCATTTTAGGATTCTCAAGTGATGGCAATCCAAATTTAATTAAATCAATGCTATATCAACATTAAACGCCTCAATCAAATTATAACTGATTTAAATTGGGG